TGAAAGCAATTATTAAAGGGAAGATGGAAACTAAGTCACTAACTAAAGCATGGCAAGAACCAAAAGATTAAACGTTCAACGCTTGGGATAAGGAAAACTGTATGATCATGTGATGGTTACGAAATTCTATGCAACAACAAATCAATGAAAACAACAAGTTGATTACTTTCACTTGTGAAATATAGAAAATAATTCATCAAAAATATTCTAAGATGCAGGACGCTCCTCTGATCTAAGAACTCAAGATGAGGATATCAACCATATAAACAACAAAATGATCGTTCTGTCCATCCTTTGTTCCCTTCTTAATGCAAAAAATTATGATGTTAACAAATTTCAATGAGATATTAGTGAATTTGCTAAAGATCGTCTATCTTATCCATCAAGAAAAACTAGATTTTCTGTTCTATAATACACATTGATATATGGGGCCCTCTAAAGTCCCAGCATCTTTGATGGTTTGTCCTTTATTAATGAAAATTTAATAAGCACGTGATTGAAAATAAATAATAATAATAATAATTTGATTATAAAAAATTGATTTTTTTAAAGAACTACTGCTTAATAAGAGAGAGAGAGAGAGACTCTCACATATCGTGCCAAATTATTGCAAGTTGGAACTGGAAGGCCATCTAAATTTAGATTAAATTCCGCATTCTAACATCAATTGTTAAAGAAACAAGGTCTATCATCCAACCCAACAGGTATTTATTTCCATGTAAAAGGAACACTGATACTCAAGTTAGTAATTGTTAGAGGAGGCTTGGTTTATCAATTCAATAACAAGGTCAATAGATCATACATTGCCATGACAGACTCCTAAGAAAACTGGCATCAGGTTCTGAAGAGAATAAAAAAATGAAATCAATGGATCTTAAGGAAACATAAATTGCCTTTTGAATTCACTCCCTTAAAAAAAAGAAGCAGAATATTATAAATGACTTAATCAGTGTCCTATTTATAAGCTTGTCAAAGGACTATTTCGGAAAACTCAAAAGTTGTATGATTTCTATTAGGATTGTGCAGTTGCAATCAGATTCACGTGAACATTGAAATTTACGTAAAATTTAAAAGTTCATATTTACCACAGATCTGAGCTGGCCGTACTGACCAATCCACATCAAGGAAAGGGATGTCCTTAGCGCATAGGAGAGAAGCTGGCAGTGATGGCCCCTCTGGCGCCATTGATGGTCAACAATGGCACAAGGGAAGGATTCGAAAAAAAAAAGTCTGAAAAGGAAACAATTATGCCTCTACCTTTGTTTAAGGTAAATCTAATAAAGAGAGGTCATTCATAATATTTTCTAATCAAGTCTTTTTAGATTTGCCTCTATCTTTCTTAACATAAATCAAATCTAATACCTCTACACTCCTAACCGGGTCATCGGAAGCAGCCATTTTATGTGACCAAATCATCTAAGGAGACTCTCTAATCTTATCTTCTCCTGGAGCTACTCCAACCTTTTCACGTAATATGCTCATTTCGTATCCTATCACTAAGGGTCAAGCCCCTCATCCACCTGAGCATACTCATCTCTGCTAAGGAAAATAAGCCACTCATTTCAAAAAATAAAATAAAATAAAATAAAAAAACAGAAACAAAATGGTGTGCGATGAGGAGTAAAGTGACGGTACTAATTCATAGAAAATTTGGGTGGTTCTTGAATTAGGCCAGCCCGCTAGAACCTTGCCAAATCCACCGGCATCCACCAGGACAGCCCTAACAAGGGTGACAAAGTGGCCCCCTACCCCTTGTTGCGCGCGATGCACAAAGAAGAAGTTCAATAGTCCAAGCTTGATCAGTCTGTTCATAACTGGGTTATTCTTTTAGACATTGAGCCCCACACGAAGCTGCCCTCATCAGATCCGTGCCGCGACGTGAGACCAATTACACAACAGTTCTCATCTAGAACCCAAACCAAGAAAACTAAATCCAAACTCGGACCTATATCCCACTTAGTCAAACAGAACTTCAATGAGTTCTTCGGTCTGAGCCAAAACGTTGAAAAGAAACTCATTAAATACCTCGAATGGTACAGATCACGCGGGATTGGAGTAACAGGTGGCGCAAAAGAGGAGTTGTCGCCATGAACGGAGTCCAGCCGCTGCAGAATAGCGCCGAGGAAGATCAAGAAGACGAACATATAGAAAAAATTCAACTCTATCTCTCCTACTCTCCTTGCCTCGTCGAACTAGGAATTTATTAGGGTCTATGCAGTTTCCTCCGTCGCTGCAGAGTCGTTAAAGGAAATATATTGAGAACACGAGTACACGACTGACTAAATTTTGGTACTAAAACTGAATTAAGATAAACAGTAAATATAAATAATTAATTACACAATTCTCTTTGGCCTATTGGTTGAGAGCTTAGACTTCAAACTAAGAGGTTCAAAGTTCAAGTCCTTGTGTATGCGTTTGTGTGTATGAGTTTGCCTTAAATGGCCTAAATGTCCAAAAATATATATAACTAATTTCACATAAACATGATTAACAGTATTAAGTACAATTTTATAAGATTTAATTTTAAATTTAATAATATTTTTTTATCACATAACACTGCTAATAAACATCTCATTTTTAATTCTCCAAAACATTGATGGTTATATAATCAGCAATGTTTACATTCTTTTATTCAAAAAATAAAAATAAAAAATACTTTGAATTCACAGTAGCAATATAAACTTTCAACATTGTGATAAAAAAATGAAAAGAACAAAATTGTATTAAAATATATACACATCATGACAAATTTCAAAATTAATTAATTTATGCTAAGATTATTGTTACATACATGTTTATAACAGTTGTAATATAACTAGCTACCTAAATTGTGGGGACTGTTATTCCTCCCATGTTTACCAAATAAATTGATTGAAATAAGTAGCAAAAAAGCAAAGGATTTTCCTCACCAAATGAAGCTTTGGAGGCCTAGAATATCCCTGTCAAGCAAAAATATAAATAAAAATATAAGATGGTGATTCATGCCCTTTTGATTTCTGTTAAGATTTGCAATATGCATGATCAGGCTCACCAAAGCCGTATAATGTTGATTAAGACTTTGTTTGGGACGACTATCTTATTGTTTCTCAAAGCAATTTTTTAGTACAAAAATTTTCATTTTGTACTAAAAAGCTACTTTAATAAGCAAGCTGTCCCAAACGAAGTCTAAGGCTTCTTTTGGGACGGCTTTCTTCCTGCTTTTTAAAGTAATTTTTTAGTATAAAATTTTAAAGTAGTTTTTTAGTATAAAATTTTAAATTTTTGTACTAGAAAGTTGCTTTCAGAAGCAATAAGAAAGTCGTCCCAAACAAAGCCTACGACTTCATTTGGGATGGCTTTCTTAGTGCTTAAAACACCTTTCTGAAGTAACAATAGTCAGAGTAACGACTACTCACTTGAAATGGGAGGAGACAAAAAGAAATTTCAGCTTGCTATGGCTTTTAGCCCGTTTTATCACGTCAATCATTGGTGATGGCATAATCTAGTTCTTGAGGCTCTTCTTCAACTGGTAACACAGAATGTGTGTTGTATGAAGGCTGGAAGGACAATAGCATAAAAGAAAACTCAGTATGAATGTGACAGCATTTTTATCATAATTGAGCATTATAACATGATAGAGAGAGAGAGAGAGATTGCATTTCTATGATACTAGAGCAAAATAAAATATGACAATAGGATGAAACTAGATTGACACACGCTG